TAAGTTACCAGGGTTTTCAAGAAACGTGCCTCGAAGCCGGAAAAGCCACCCGGCCCTGCACTCACACGGCTTTGTTGCAAAAACTTAAAGGAAAAAAAAAAAATTAAGGACTAAAAAAATCGCGTTCTTCAATGAATTATTAGGAAAAACAAAGGAAGACTTTTAATTGTAGTTTTCTTTTCTTAGTAGTCCCGCATGCGCCCTTCGATATAGTCCCACTTAGGTCAAAACAGAATTTTCAAAAAGTTCCACACCTCGTGGTCATATAATGCTGCGCTAGGTCATATGTCATGACCTCCAGCCAAATATTGTCCCTTACGGCCCGACCAAACTTAGTTAATAAGTACATATTACCACCGTTTTTTTTTAACCAATGGGCAGGCTGTTGTGTTCGTATTTCGCCTTGCGGGACACTTGCCTAGTTCACCATCGGCAGCCAGTTATGGACTGGAACTGATAGTTAGTGAAATCCTTGGAGAGGGAGGAAGGTAGTGTGTAAGGGCTAATTGTAGATAATGCAAAATAACAATTCAAACAACACATATGCTCTACGAGTTGTGTTTAGTGCCTTCTCAAACATTTTTGTAACACATTTATGAGTTTTTTCTCACGTAATTCTCATTCCCGCATTTCTTCTTTAACCCTTGGAAAGTGACACGCATCTGATTTAACCTTCCAATACCACCCCTGAATCACACACTAATATGGTCACAAGAATAAAGGAAACTTATAGTGATCACGAACTAAAGAAGCTCTTGATTGTGAAAAAAATCTGATTCTCCTTACCGGCACCTTAGGAAATGTCTACAGAATAGTATGGAGAATATGCACACTGATGTTAATGTGTAGGCGGTTAGTAGGGTGGAATGTCCAGTTTGTATGCTGGATAGTTATACAGATCTTTGATTTCTTGGCCGATGTTTCCTGCGTCATACGATGCAGTAGCATTCCGCGCTTCGAGCATCACTGGTGTCGTAGTCCCATAATACACGTTGTCTGTGTACACGTGATGTTCAGACAGATTACCGCTGGTCAGCCATATGCAAGCGTACTTTGTCGAGTTCCTGACTGCACCAATGATCTCAAAGACGTTAGCAGAGTATCTGATATTCTCGTCTTTCCCAGCGTTGTGAGGCTCAAAATAGCCTAATTTGCTTTTTGGTCCGTTGTAATTTGTTCGATCTACGATGTGGTTTCCGTACACCACAGCATTCTTGAGACCATCATAAAGACAGGCCTTTCGTTTACTGTAAGTATACAACAGAATACTCACGTCGTCTAAATAATTACGGGCGACCCAAAGATTTTTTCCATTTCGAGCTTTGATGCCACCTGATGAATTTGAAGGCCAACTTCTCGCGAAGTTTCTTTTTACTTCCAGATCATCAAACCCTTTTACGTACACGGCGTGATCTCTGTGGAGACCGGCGGTATTGGGGCTTCCGTTGAAAATGTTTTCCGCTATTTTTATTCTCTTATCGCACTGGCTATAAAGACAACTTTTAAAGAAGCCTTGGTCAGATTTAAGATTGTAATAAGTCTTTAAAAATTTCAATTTCTCTTTTTGATGTCGCCAATGGTCTACTGGCTGAACTTGGGTAGACAACCAGTCTAAATTACTTAAATCGAGGCCACATAAGTTGCCAACTACCTCAACTCCTAGAGTACTGGCATATCTTGAAGAAACTCCATATACACCCGAGTTGCGTAAAAAGACGTTTTTGTAGACGCCACTTTTCGAAAGATTTATCATTGCCAATTGTTTCCTCTTTCCATTGTATGGAATTGCACTTGCCGATGAAAAGAATACACAGCTCAGCTCTCTATTGTTATATTGCTTGTGGCTAATGATCCTTGGCTTCGACCATCGAATACTACTCGAACTCCGTCAAGATAAAGATGCTTCAGTGAAACAAGTTTTACAGGTTTAGTATTGCGTATTATTTTGGCATATGGAGTCGACGCCTTGATGACCCCAGTGAAGTTCCACTGGGCCACGGATAGTAATATCACCGCTGACCAGGTACTCACCACGAGGGAAGAAAACCTTGTTATTGTTGGAACCTGCAACGTGGTCAACGATAGCCTGAATGGCAGATGTGTCGTCAGTTTGTCCATCTCCAACACCAGCAGTCAAGGAACCTCCAGGTTGCTTTACATTGGTCATTCCAGCAGGCACGTCATCTGACCCTTTCAAGTAGTTTGGACCTAGGAGCATAATGAGAAGGGAAGTCATTTAACAGTGGTACTTACAGTCAACTGTCATGGCATACAGACCTCTATGACTCTATATTCAAACCAGCTTGGAGCTGCATGGTTGCCACGTGACTAGAACTTGTCAGTGATTGACCAATGGCGAGCTTAGGGTCATTTGGTCAAAGTATCAAGTTCATGAAATTAAACGCTGCTGTGTTTTTCAAAACCATTCAAACTTTTGGGAAAGAAGTTTTATATTCCCTATTTTCGTGTCGCAAAAGTTCAGCACAGGCCTTTATAATTAAACAATTCAGTTTCTTAAACAGAACGAAAATCTTAAGAACAAACTAGAAATTCTTGGAAAGCATTCCATTATAATATCCATATTCTCCCTGGTATCTCAGCTAAACTGCGTTTGCAGAGTTTTTAAAGCGATTTAAGACATTTAAGGGTGTACTCGTGCAAACACTATTTCAATTTCTATATAAGAAATTAAACTGGAAGATTTAGATGTATTTCTTTTACAAAAAAAAAAATACATTGACTTCTCTCCATATTGTATTTGTTAGCGAATCTTCGTCGTTATTTCAATTTTACCAACTAGACACAAATAAGTTACGTTATACAGCCAGTTTTTTTATAATGTTCGTACTATCATATTTGTAACATAGTGGCAAACTATTTCCTTTTTGACCTTACCTGATTTCTTTTTCATCACGTTTTGTCGCGCTCCATTGTGATGAATAAGCGTTCTCTGTCCAAAGTTGAGTTCGACAGAAGGCTTTCTGGCAGAGCTGTTGCCCATCCTCCAATGGAAAAATCAAAGATTGTGCCAAGACCCGTTCATGTTTTTTTTTTCCTTTTTAATCATATTAATTTTTTTTTAACACTCACCTAAGGGCCAGAACGATGCTGACAAACAACAGCACTATCCTTCTGACCATGTTACAACGCTTTCAAAAATTTGTCGAGGTCGGTGAAGAGTATTTTATGATACCAACCAGTTATAAAATATGAAGGTTTCACTGACGTTAACCGTCAAATAAAACGGTAAATAACATTCAGCCGTGAGGCGGAAAAAAAGCCGTTAACTGGCCAAAATGTGAACCGTAAAAGCCATCACCCAGTTATGTGGGGGTCTGCTGAACTAGTTTCAACGTATTACAATTCAAATTAAATTGTATTTGTTTATAAACTTGTTAAATTTACATTAGATATTTTCGCACAATGTCTTTTTGGCAGGTGTTACCCAAATTGACTGTTGAAATCAAACAAATTGCTGAATAATTGCTCATTTTTCCCAAGTGTGAAAATGTTCAAGCGCAATGATATTAAAGAAAGTGCTTCGAATTCGGGAGTAGTTTATTAACAATACGTGCTTGGGATAACTTATTTCATAGCAGTAATTCAGAAATTAGTTTCTGGTTCGGTTTTTAGTAATAATGGAAATTACCTATATGCTAATAGTCATTTGTTTTAAAAGGAAACATATTTGTGACTTCGATCCATTTGACTTACTGTAATGCAAATTTTTCGCTATTTCTTCATGGAATTTCTAGAATTAGTGATTTACCACCGTTAACAAGCGTCTGTTTGCTATTATCTTTTTACAGCTAGCTATGGTTTCATAACTTGTAAGAAGTTATTTCAAAACCAGCTAATTTGCAGTTTTCTCTCCATCGTCGAACTGTTTTACTCTTGCTATACTTAATTGTTATCAAACAATTACGTTTTAACCTCGTTTCTTTCAAAGTTCTGTCTTTGAACTTAAATATCCTTCGATAAAATTGCATCCTGTTTTTTTAATATAGATCGCTCATGTTGTCAGTAAAAGTTTAACATGAAAAAGTTTTGACAATGTCTAAACTGAATGACCTTTATTGCTAGGCAACATGGGATCTGGACAAATTTTTAATTAAAAAAAACGTGGAACGACATTTTTTAACTTATTAGTGGAAACTTTAGAAATGCAAAACAGGTGTAATTTTGCTGAGTGAATGCTTAAGATTTTTCTTGATGAAAATAATTGCTTCCATCTTTGATTTTTACAGCTGCTGAAGAAAGAAAGAAATTTGTACCAAGGGGGTGAGGGACCGTCAAAAGGAAGGAGAGGGGAGGGGTGGGGCCTTTCCTTGAACCCCTCACCACTCGCTCTCCCTATCGCCCACGCAAAATCTAAATCAAACTTGGCCGGTTGAATCAACGATCGTAAGCTTGTAACATGTTGTAACGTTTATTCGCCCTAATAAGAATGTGGAAAATAAATGCGTAAACTTTGCCTGTTTGTTCTCTTCAGTTTTTTTCTTTTTACCCATTTTGTTACGGAAAAAAAACTGTTCAACTTGGTACTCTAAGCCGGTCAAATTCCAAGTTG